TAATAATAATGTGTCTTATTGCCATTTAATTAATTAATTGTCATTTAATTAATATGTGAATGAATAACTTCCATCACTCGAACTTCTATAATTCGAATTATCTATAACTTGAGCGCAACAAGATTTAGAGAGTAAATTACGTACAATCACAAAAAATCGAACCTTTTCTTTGCAAAATAGTATGGAATCGATGTATGGAAGTTTGACTGTGTATACATAAAAATAAGCAAATGTCAAAAAAAAAACTGTATAACTAACAGTACAAAACAAAAAAAAACGATAAATAACTAACACTAAACCCTTCAAAAAAACACTAAAAGAGACACAGAAAATGTATAAAAAAGTGCTAACAAACTGCACATTTAAATAATCGCAGCAGCAAACAGCACCAAAAAAAAAAACCGAAACGCAAATTATTTACACTAAAAACTCTAATAGAAGTGAAAAAATACAGCAAATGGTTAAAGATTTAGTTAAGAGCAGGAAAAAATCAAAGAAAGTGCAATCAGAAAGCACATATATATAAGTATATGTTCGGATAGAAGCTAACAGTACTAAACAAAAAATAGTCAAACAACATAATAACACGTATTGGAGATAAAGACAAGTAAAAAATGGTCAAAGACCTAACTAGTAGCAAAAGGATACCAAAAAGAGTGCCAATAAACAGCACCAAAAACGCGAAAAAATTAAGAAAGTGAAGTATGGTAAAATGAAAAAACATTATCAAAAAATAACAAAAAATTTGCCCTCTTATATTGTATATATTTTATTCTCTTAGCAATTCTTATTGCATTCATATTAAGCGCTAGTTATATGAACCCCTAATGTCGTTCAATTCTTTCTTGACTCCTTAATCGTTGCCTTATAAATCGTACCTAATGCAAATATAATTTACGAATAATACAATTTCATTTCATCCGTTTAATATTTCATACATGTAAATTTATTTTCACATTATATGATATAATTTAAACCGAAATCCAAATAAATTACTTTGTTTCTCATATGGAATCCAAATATTTATTATATTCATGTCATGTCAAGTAGCTGCCATTTAAATCATTAAAATTTACCATAATATATAACAAGAAACAAATTTGCCCTCACCCATGCGTGTTTGACTCCAGTAAATTTCTGTTTTAGAAAAGTTCCACTTCTATCATTTCCCAAAAGTGACATTCATCTTGTCGAGCTCACCTCCCGCTGCTCAGTACTATTGTTCCAGCAATTGGGTTGCACTTTTATGAAACTCAATACAAAAATGAAACCTTATCGAAAAAACCAAATACAACTCATTAATTTTTACGACAAATTGATTAACCATAAATTCTCACCGTTTCTCTTCCGAAATGGTACTGCCTTCCATTCACAAGTCTATCGGAGTTATTGGGTATTAAACAGCCTCTTCGCAGGCACTAAAAACAGCAGAAAAAGTAAAATGGCTGTAAAATCACGTGTCGCACACGCGTGTAAATTATTTACACGCAATTCTATTTTTTTTTTTTGGATTACTGCTACTGAAGTTCTTCTAGATTCTGCATTTTTTCAAATGGATTTGTAATTTAAGTTATTGATTTCCATTGAATTTGTTTAATGACATCTACTTGATTATAAAATATTGCTCAAAACTTTTCGAGATTTATATATAATAGGATTCGATTAAGAATTTCGAATTTTTCGGTCTCATGTATTTATTTAATAAATATAGAATCCTTCAATCTGAGTCGTTTTTTATACTGGAAATTTGTTTTATTAAACAATATATTAATGAGGACAAAGCAGCAGTATACAGTGGTATAGAGCTACATTTCTCAACCGTTACCATCACCAATACGAAAATTTTAAGTGATATTCTCTGTTTTGAGTAACAACCTGGGAGTATTCTTTGGAGCACAACTAATGGCATCGATTTGAAAAAAACACTACATATTCATCTATTCATTAATACATATTCATATGTGTATAAATGTATATATGTTAAATGTAATATTCATATTGATGTAACTTTAAGATCTCTCTCTCTCCCTCTCTCGCTACATAAATATACTCATTGTGCAATTAGAATTAACTCTTCCATCATATCTTATTCCATAGTTCATGACTGTCTCCAGGATCTCTAAAGTCTCATTCAACAAAATTTTTGGTTAACAAACCTAATCTTTCATTATATATTTTCCATACTTCATAAGTGCTTCCAATATTTCTAAAGTTTTTTAGAATTTTATATATATATGTATAAGGTTACAAATATCTTATTATATATATCTAATTTCATAGTTCATAACTGTCTCCAGTATTTCAAAAGTTTCATTCAAAAAAATTCTGGTTAACAAAACCAACTATTTCATTATATATTTTCCATAGTTCTAACTGCTTCTAAACTTTCTAAACTTTTTTAGAATCTTTTGCATATGTATACGATTATATATATCTTATTTTATATATTTTATATCTTATTCCATAGTTGATTGGTTTCTCCGGTCTTTCTAAAGTTTCATTCAACAAAGTTCCTAGTTTACAAAACCACTGTTTCATTATATATTTTTTATAGTTCATAAGTCTCTCCAGTAGATTCATTCAACAACATTTCTTTTGAATGTCAGTCCTAAAATATAAAAACAAAGTTATATAAGAACCATATACATTTTATAATTTTTACATTATATTGTCAAGATGGAGATCTCTTACATTATTCCCCCATGAATGAGCTACTGCTAGATTTCTATATATTGTCTTTTTCAACATAGAACATAGAAACACTTTATATTGTTGGATAGGCATAGACAATAACAGATCATGCTATCGCATATGTCTTTGATTGTTATATATGCAGAATCTCTAAGCTTGATCTGCTAGTTATTTCCAATACCAGTAACCCTTATAACTGGACACTAATCCGTTGTATTAAAAAAAAAAATTATTTCTCCAGATTATTTAATTAATTAACCACCTCAGTTTGTTTGTCTTTACTGATGCTTTAATTTCTTTATACTCGGGGTTTTCAAATCGCTTTTTTGTCGTTATGCTTATCAAGATAATTAAATTTGGTAATCTGTGAGATTTCTAAATTTTTTAATCGAAGTTCTTGGAATTTTCCCTTCTCAGAGCAAAACTAAAATTGACTTATTTTTATTACTATATAAGATTATTACTATAGGTATAAGATTAAGGGTATAACCTTATACCTATACCATTTTATACCATTTTTATAAATTAATGCTTTTTTGTGATACAAAAGCGAGAATCTAAAGATTTGCTAGAACCGTATCATCGGCATAAGAAAGTACCAGGACGTTAACTGTTGTTAACATGTTTGTTATATGAAATGTTTATTGCATCAGACCTATCACACTACCTACCGGATCCTTGCTCTACCTTTACTATGTTCGTCTTTTTTACAAACAAATAAATAATAGAAGTAAATATATAAATAAAAATAGAATAGTAAGTATAAAAATAGAAAATATTACAATAACCTTTCAAATCGTAACAGTTGATTGAGATCTTGTCTTTGCGAAAGCATTGTAAAAAAAGTTTAGATTTTACTACACCTACCTACAGCTATTATTTTCCGATAAATAGAGTATTGTCAATAGTATTGTTGTTGTTTTAATTCCCATGAACCTACAGAAAATATGAAAGGAATTGCAAAATGAATATATGGATGGGTTAGCATGTGGGTAGTCATCTGTGGAACTATACTCCATAAATATAACACGATTTTGTAAATTTTATAATGATTTTTATGTAGCTAACTCTAAGAAACTGTACAGTAACTTAAGAATAATTTTTTCTATATTAGTTAAGTTAGTGTTTGTAAACTTTACTAAAGTCTATGGTAAAAGTTGTTTAATTGCCTTTATCTCTATATCTCTTTTTACCCACTTTGGGACGTTTTCAATGCAATTGCTCCTTTTCCTTTAAATAAATCATTTCGCCAATTAAATCGCAAAATTCGTCCCATTTAAATTTAATTTAAAGCACCCCAGGCTTAAATTTTCAATATAAATTATACCATATTTTGCTCGCCCACCTCTTCGCCAGAACACACTTCTTTATTTTCTTTTTTTCCGAAATATGAGCCTTTGACGCCATATCATTGATTAGCTGAAACAAATGTCAAGTGCACTGAGTGAACTTTTCAATTTTGTTTACCATTAGTCTGTTTTATATTTGCTTGTCTGCCTTCACCAGTAACGGAAACGGAAGCAGAGAATATGTTTACCTAATTGCATTATGGACCAGTGTCCATAGAAAAAAATATTGCTACACTACAGCTATATATATCCAGTCGGCAAGCATTTGTCCAAGATTTCAATATCATAAATTACTTTTCGATTAGTTCTTCAATTGGTACAAAGGAAGGCGCATATATATACCTATATATGTGTATATCAATACATATATTTCATTTACTTGTGCAGACCTATTTTTTTTTTTATTATTTATTTCTTATTATTAATAAATAAATATCACACACTTTGTTAATTCTGTGGTTGCTTTTAATATGAATTTATTTTTCTATCGCCTACACATATCTTAAAGTTTATTTTCTATAGAATTTTTGCCATTACCTAAAAGAAAGTCTTAATTCTGTTTTTTTTCAAAATTAATTCATTGCTACTGTAAAGCTTCTTCTATAAATTTATAATTAGGATAAATAATTATTTATTTAAGTGAAAAATGAAAAAAAAAAACACGTTTATGCGCCTAAAATTATGTAAATTTATTAAATTAAATATGCATAAATTTTAATATAACGAATTTGAGTTGCCTAAAAATTGGCTATGAAAGGCTAATGTTTGTTGTTTATTCATAGCTAAAAAATGATTAAGATGTGAAGTGCTATAATGTTCTGGCGCCTTAAAATATGCGCAAAATTTGGTGATTTTATATTAAAGAAAATGTATAAAAAATGGAAAAAAAATAATTGAAAATGGCTTTTTAGATAACAAAAAAAATAAATAAATAAAAATAAAAAAGAATTTTAACTGTCTTGCATTTTTAATGGAATTATAAAGAAATGGGCAATTCATCATCGTCACACGGCGGTGGCAGCAAAAGCAGTCGAAAATGCCGCAGCTTACCGAATTCACCGGATGTACGAAGGTAAAAATTTTGATGATATGTATAAAGACAAAAATTTTAAATATTAATTGATTAGTGAAGAGTACCTGATTTTAGACTGAAGTAGTATGAATTACTCTTCCAAACATTGGTTAATGGGTAAGGAACATATCCAATAAATCAAACGAAAAATTTTTCTTTGAATAAAATATAAAATATTGGTATATGATTTAGAAAATTATTTTTAACTAAATATGATTAACTAATTAAATTTAGAGGAGAGTTCTTAATTAAATCATAATTTAATTAATGTAATTAACTACTTAAATTGTTTTTTAATTTTTGTTGTAATTTCCAAATTAGAACTTAGGGGAGAATTTTTAATTAAATCTTAATTTAATAAATATAATTAACTCATTAAATTAGTTTTTAATTTTTGTTATAATTTCCAAATCAGAACTTAGGGGAGAATTTTTAAATAAATCATAATTTAAGTAATATAATTAATTAATTAAATTGGTTTTTAATTTTTGTTGTAATTTCTAATCAGAATTTAAGGACGAATTATAAGATAAATGAGAATTTAATTAATATAATTAATTTATTAAGTTGGTTTTTAAATTTGGTAGTAATTTCCAAATCAGATATTAGGGGAGAATTTTTAATTAAATCAGAGTTTAATTAAGATGATTAACTAATTAAGGTGGTTTTTAGATTTTGTTGTGATTTCCAAACTAGAATTTTGGAGACAATTTTTAATAAATTAATGTAATTAACTAAATAAATTGATTTTTAAGTATTGTGCAATTTCTAAATCAGAATTTAGGCGAGTATTTTGTATTAAATCAGAGTTTAATTAAGATGATTAACTAATTAAAGTAGTTTTTAGATTTTGTTGTGATTTCCAAACTAGAATTTAGGGGACAATTTTTAATTAAATCATAATTTAATAAATGTAATTAAATAATTTAAATGTTTTTAAAATTTTGTAATTTTCAAACAGAATTTAAGGTCTACTTATGTTACAAGGAGAATATTTAAACTTGCGCTGCCTAAACCAATACCTGTGAGAAGTGCTTATATCAACATGTGTTTAATTTAGAATATTTCCATTAAGTTTTTTTTTTATATTGAAATTTATTTCACATTTTAATCGAATATTATAATGAACTGTATTTATATATATTTTCACCTTCAAATATTATAATCAAGTGTGTTTTTGTCAGTAGTCTTAAAGTTCTAAACAAAAACTGCATTGTAGTTGAATACAATTATAACGTGAGATGTTTTTAGTGAAGCACTTAAGTCATATGTTTCCCTGCTTGAGACCTATTATTTGAATGTACAACCAATTTCTTTCTATTTTAACATAGTTTACTTGTTTTTTATTCCATAGCGAAGTCTTAAGCGACTTCCCACACATAATCTATTCTTTACTCGGTTCGCTTGAATAGAATACATTGCCATTTATAGTCACTAATGAGCATTCACTAATCACCAGCACATTTTTATTTACATTCCTGAAGTAAATAAAAATTGGGGGGAAAATTAAAAATGCCGCCTTTCTACTGCTCAGAAGAATTAACACAGACCAAAAGTACACCAAAAGCACACCAGTGGCCAAAATAGTAAAAATAGACTGCAAAGACCAAACGTCACCACAATAAATCAGAGAACCTGCACAACCCAGACGCTCCCTCCCCCTACCGACACTTTCACATTTGGAGTTGCTACGAGTATTTATTGTTGTTTCTTCACAGATTAGTAATTTTAATGTTTTTGGAATAATGTGTCTTTAGCAAAATCTTTAGCATTGTACGACTATATACACAAACACTCGAATAAGATCATTAGTTCACTAACATGTGTTTTATTTTTATGCTCCAGAGGTATATGTAGGGGACTAGGAGAAGCAAACATAAACGCGGATCTAATGAAATGTACATGAAGCATACTTCTTGTATTAAATTTGTTCGTACGTGGAAATCAAATAAAAATAACAGAACAGAAGTGTTAGACAACAAAATTTCAATTTAATTAAGCCGCTATAATTTTATGAACACGATCCGACTAGATACCCCTATAAAAAAAATTGAATTAATGTACTTTGATAGGCCAAGAATACAACGCTCTTTCACTTTCGCTTGTTGTATAATTAATTTGTGAACGAAATTTAGTAGTGAGTCCTTCAGACGAAGTGAAATTGGCTATAACATTAATAAACCATCTTCCCGGTGTCAAATTTGTAGGCGTCCATTGCATTAGAGGCACGAAAAATAGAGATTGTATGCAAGTTTCATGGTGCAACATACAGATTGTGAATGGATTCTTTTTTCTCGGAAAACTAAGAAAAATCTAATTTTGGTTTCTAATATTTATTTGCACTTCACTTGATGTTTAAGTAAGGAGGAATTTATTAATATTTATTGGGTGTATGCCAAATGTCGAAGCCGAGCCAAATATATAGCACAACAAGAGTAAAGGCAAAAGTTGATATGATGTTGAGTTAATTAAAGGAGAACGAGCATATGTACATATGTTGGCTTGTTTTCTTTAACAGGAAAGTGCATCCATCAGATGCAGAATTTCGCACTTGGTTAAGCAATTTGAAAATAAATTAAAAATTTACAATATTTATTTATGAAATGCAGGACTTCACGTTATTGCATTAAAAGCTTTTATTAAACAGAAAATAAAAAAAATTGTTGCAAATACACATGACTATTTCGTGAATTTTAAAGTTTAAAAATATTTCATGCAGAAGTTTAAACTGCAGTTTAAATAAATTTAAATACATATATAGACTTCTATGTACTTAAGTACATTATTATTATTATTATTATTATTTAAATAGGCTATTTGTGCACCCCGATCTATTGTGCGCCTATAGGCCCAACTAGGACAATTTTAGACTATTTATAAATCTTATAATTGCAGTGGGCTTAATTTTACCTATTTGATTTGGGACCAGGATCCCGCTACCAAGGTAATCGAGTCTACGTCTTGCCACCGCTGGGCAGTTTCATTGAACATGTTCTGATGTTTCCTTCTCCTCATGACAGAGTCGACAGGAATCACTTTCTACCGCACCTACTTAAGTACATACATATAAGTATATACAAGAGAGAATAGACATTTACAATATATTAACAAGAAAAAAATTTTGCACATCGGTAATGAAATTGGAATGAAAATCCAAGTAAATCCAAGCACTCCAAGTTTCCCCAACGTTATAACAATAATAACGAATTGAAGATAATCTTGACATTTATACAATCTTTCGTTAAGTAGAGCAATACATGGTAAGAACCCCAATTTCAGAAAACATCCATAAGCTTCCCGAAATCAATATTCGATTGCTTATTAACAGACATATCAACTTAAACTCTCCCGACATATAAGACACAAGCATTGCCATGCAATTATTGAAAGGTATCAGTACCGCCGCAATGAATAAAATTCCTAATGTGCAACTGAGGTTACTTCCTCACCGGGTGAACATTATATTTCATGAATTAAAATAAATAAATATGGGAAGAAAATACCCAGCTGACTAAATAGAAAAAAGCAATTATCGTAAAAATTTCAAAAAAGAAACGAAAATTATTTAGAGAACGTCCTATTTGGAATATAATACTTAATACTATTAACTAATATAAAAATTGTAAACATCACTCTTAATCGCATTATAGACAAACTTAACAAAAAAAAAAATAATATAAGAAATAATATAGCTCATTTCTAACTGAAGTGTTTATGTATAAACTATATAAGTAAAGTGCGGGTTGTAGTTGAGCAATCCTTCAAGTCCTGTGGCTTACTATAGTTTAATTTCATTAATTATGTAAAAACTTTGTAAAAAGTTGGATCTCTGTGATATTTCTTTCAACTTGTTATATATTATATAAATAATTTGGAATGCACTAGTCAATCCTCCTATGTTAATTAAATATTTAATATTAATTCACACATTTCAAAGTATCTCCAATACCCAGTAAACTATTTCCAGATATCATATGACACTTTAAATATGATCTTCGACAACAGAGACGATATGCAGTGAATGTTAATTGTAAAATTATTTTGGTTGCTTTCTATCATCCACAAATCATTTCTGAAATGCGGACTTAGGCATTAATATAGATACATCTAATACAGTGCTATGGGTAGCCATTTTCTATTGACAATTTTCGCTTTTTTCTAACCCAGATTACCTCTTAACATGTAGTCAATGTTGAATTGATATAAATAAATTTAATACAAAGCAAAGAAACACAAACTGCAACCATTTTACATTCACTTCATATCTAGTTTACATTAAAATGTATTGCTTTCTTTTAATCACAATTACCTCTCAAAATATGGCCTTATACATTAATATGATTAAATTCAATACAATTAACATAAACACGGACTATGAGCAGTTCCTTTACATCAAAGGTTATTATCTTGCAGAATTGATTGAATGCGTTTACAATGACAGCAAATATACATCTAGTATTGATATTGATAAAATCAAATCAAAGTCTTCCCTAAAAAAACAAGAAAGTTTTATAAACGTTGTGAGATATAGAAGACATGGGCACTTCGAAAATCTTTAATGCAAAAATGTGTAAACCCTTCTTAACCCATGTTTAGAATACAAACCAGTTGGTAGCAAATGAACGGGTTGTTCAAAAATTATATGGATACGACCAATTTTAAAAGTAACGTTCCAAAGCTTGTTCTAATAGAGATGATTGATTCTTTTGTGTAGTTTGATTGAGTTGATAAACTTGTAGTGTAAAGTAAATATATAAGAACATCTCAATTGTAATTATAAGATTAAGAATTAGTAAAATATATTCTGCAATCGGAGAGAGGTCTAGAAATTTACACAAAGTACGCAAACATAAGTGGCTAGTTGATTTTTAATATTTTTATTCAAATAATTCTTAAGATGCTATTCATAGTAGAAAGGAAGTAGGAACACACTCACATATATTATCACATATTTTTTTAACTAAAAATCTTTGACATAGAAGAACCTGATACAGACTACA